TATTCAGTCTGGTTTCTTCATTAAAGTGTCTTAAAATGTATTTTTATAGTATCTCAGAAAATTAAAAACAAAATTCAATGCTTTCAGGCTCAAAGACAGTCCTTGCTTAAATTGCAATTAACGTGAGCTTACCTATCTCATCCTCAGCTGAACAAAAACTCTATTGTATTTTCACCCTCTTTTATTACAGAATCATTAGAGAGCTTCTGCTGGAGGTATCAGACCAGTGTAGCATTGTGGGGAAAAGGAGTCAAACGAGAAAGGCAGTAGCAGTAGAAAAAAACATATTTGAAGCGGATAGGGATGAGGTATCTGTGCCATATTTCTAGTACCTAACCTTGGATGTTTGTGTGAATTCAGAGTTTCAAAAAGCAAGGCCGAGTCTCCTGAACATAAAAAACCTCGAGCCAGAGATGCAACCATGCGACGTCTCATCCTTTTAGTCCCACAGAAGAACACAGAGGTCAAGGCATGGGAGTTTTGGCCAGGGCACCTCCACCCTGGGGCTCCTGGAATAGCCATTGCAGCCCCAGCGGGGTTCGCCCGCGCAGACACATTGGTACACACTAAGCAGTGAGGTCCACCTCCAACACACTAGTTGCTCGCTTCGGTGTGTTCCTGTCCTGGTGCGCTGCTTTGTTAATAAAAGCACAGGAAGCAAATAAGAGCATGCCTGTGATAGTTTCTTCAACACAGACAGTACTCCCTGAGACGCTTCTTGGTCACTTTGTGGGATTGTGTGCATATGTCTGTGGGCAGACAGCCTTGTTAATAATACCGATGGTCCATTCTTATGTTATTATTACTGCTAGCCAGGATAACACGCTTTAGCCATCCAGCTAAAAGCCCGCTGAGCGGGCTTTTATATGACTTCTTGCTCCTATTTCAGCTCACATACATACCCCCATTAGAGACTCGCTGTAGTTTGCAGACAGATTCTCCAAAGATCGTGTAAACGCTGAGCATGTGCCAGCCAGGGCCTGCAGCAGCAGCAGCAAGAGAATAGCTTTATGGTGGGCTCCATGTGATTAAGTAGGGCACTATAACATGCATATTCATTATAACACACAGCCATTCAGGTACTTCTGGAGCTCTGAGTGTTTAACTTTCCACCATATCATTCCTTATGGGCTTTGTGTATAGGTGTTACACAATCCAATATTACTACTCTATGTGAATGGAAAAATAAATCAAGCCTAAACGCAACAGTGGAGCTTTTAATCTCTTCTTTTACAGCAAATGCATTATAGCTGCAGACGCCTAAATGCTTAGAAGAAACTGAGGATTCCTTTCCTGAAGTTTTTCTATCATATTTTTTGAGAGCAGATAGTTACAGCTGAACAGATGCCATCTCAGAAACGAATTTACGTCGATCTTGTCAACAGGGAATCAAGAATATGAATCACATCACCAGCAGACTGGAATTTGTATTAAATGTATCAATAAGTGGTGTGTTCACATCATGACTGTGCTTGCCAGCCTTTTACTTCTCTATGATGAAGCACAATTTTTCCTATCAGTAAGTCAAAAGCTGGAGTCACTCAGCATTAAATAATTTGAAGCCAGACTTCTATTAACACATGGGCTAACACTTCCAATATAGCATGATAGCTAGCAGATAATTTATTCCTAGTCTCTCCTGAAAGGTGATGGTATAGATAACAACTGAACTCAAGAATAAGCTAGGGAATATCAGACCAGCACCTTAAGCAACAATTTTGGTTTAATATATACTTGACCAGATGTATAAACCTGAAACAAATTTTGAATGTTTTGTCCCAAAATTTGTCTTCAGGTAACTTTATGGAATTCAGTGGCTAGAACACTCATCTTGGAATCCAAGAACCTGTCTGTGTTCTTTCTAAGCAAAACAGCAACAGCTGAGATAAAAGTTGCATTTGTGATTGCAGTCATGCCTTTATAATATTTTAGGCACATAACTGCTCTACATGTGTTGCTCAGTGCCAAGTTTATGTTACATTTAAAATTAATTTAGTTTATATGTTGATTTTTTAAAAATAATAACAATAATATCAGATCTTTCTCAAAGCTGTTACTGCACAAATTCTCTTGAAAAGAGGTTACCAGGATGTAAGGTGATGTACCTTATCTCTAGCTGTGGTCTCAGTTCCCCAGCAATAATTTCCAAAATCTTCAAGGTCAAATGTTTCTATTTGGCACATTTCCAAACTTCTTTCCCAGGCTACGTTGAAGTGTTTCCTCCACTGATTCCTATGTTACTACCTCAGAATTCAGGAGACTTTTCTGCTAAAATATGTGTAATATACAATTGTAAACATAAAATTAGTTTTGGTAAGTATAATAGAATGGATGAAATAAGTATTAATCCACAGTTCTGAACCTTTTTCAGAGTGTCACTTATGATATAAAAAGCATCTGATGAACACAGTAGCACTTGGATATGTTTGCACTGCATCTCCAGGGCAACATTTGGACGGAAATTCAGGAAACATTTTGGTTAGATTTTCATTACTTCCAAAGTTCATGATGGAGCTGGATGACGGAATAGATTAGCTGAATCAAATAGACTTACTGGTGAAAAGCATATGCTTTGGTCTGCTGTGTTGGCAACAAGAGAAAGCAGGAGGAAATGGGTATGACCCGCTAAGTTTCAGTCAAAGCCCATTCTTTCTTTTGTTACAGTAAAACTGAAATGCAAAGTAATGGAAATTTTACAGAATGTTTGTAAAGATGCCCAGAATTTGCCCTCTTAATGAGCTGACACTCAAAGTCCTCAACCAGCAATAGCAGGAGTATCACATCAGCCCAGAAATAAGACGGAGCTTTTATCCTTTTACTTCAGAGAAGTGAGGATAACCTGGGGCACCTCTGCAAGAGACTAGGGCAGGGTGAGTTTGTGAACTGTATCATAGATTATGAGGCTCTGCCTGGAACCATGGGGGGCCTGGGGTAGTGCACGTAGGACTGGGGATGTGGGTTTTAGAATGGTAGCCGGAGTTTTCATTTCATAGTATAAATTGTATCAATTTTTATTTGTGATTTTCTGAAAGTGAGATTTGCTTTCTATTCAAGTCTATACGGATCATCCGATAGAGTGGAAAATAAAAGATACGTGACCACCTTGTTGTAACGCAATTCCCATTTGAGTATTTTCCTTTGCAATCGTGTTTCACTGCATGCATGAATCATGTAGTTCGTAATCATGCATGTTTTTTTCAGATACCCAGGGCATTTAGGCCAAATCCCTACCTTATGAAGACAACAGAAGGTTGTTGTTTGGAGCACTACTAGCCCAAACTGGATTTTACTCAAGAACTGAATAGCTGAATCATCTTCCTTCGCCTTTGTCTGCTGATGACACGCTTAATCCAAGAATAGCTAACCTCTGCATGCTCTTGAGGATACTTTTTTCCTGGCCACATGTTTGCAAACTAGACAACACAGCCACGTCTGCATGCCCTGTCAGCCTCACATAATAAATACCGCCAATTCCAGTTTGGGTCTTCACATTACATTCCCAGTCTTCCTCCAATATCATAGAAAAAGGAACAGTTTATCTGACCTGCTAATCAGTTACCATTCTCAGGACCAGTTAAAATTGCTTCATTAGAACAAGGTGCTATAGTGTCGACTAGTCATTCCCACCCTAAGTGATCGAAATGAAATTTGAAGGACATCAGTCTGGCACTGTCTTTAAAATGTCAGCATCATTTCACTGAAAGGTAAAAGGTAAGTATTATCACCTGACAGCTCCAACTTCAGGTGTGACTACTTACAAGTATCTAAGATGGGACATGGCTATGGAAGTACAGCAGTAGAGTAACAGGATTATCAAAATAAACTGTAAGGAATGTAAACACAGATTGGGATCTTCCTTTTATTGTCCTGGCTTTTTTTCTGGAATAAATGAATATAGATTTGACAGATAACATTTTTTTTCATTCTTAGTACCTGTATTGCAAAAATATGAAGTAATCATGTTCAGAAAAGTACCTAATTCCTTTTTCTCAGCTGTACCAAGTGGTAAGAAAGCCTGGAAAGTTAAAGGAAAAACAGATAACTGGAAACTATACAGCAGTCTCAGTATCAGCAAGATAGCATTCACTTGAAGAGAATGAACTTGTACGCTACATATTTTTATGCTCAGAAATTAGTTGGGTGAGAAATCACAATCTAAACCCTTATGAGGAAAGCTTTCATCTGATAATTGGATTTTTTTCTGCTTGCAAGTGCTTCTGCAGTACCTCCAGGGACTGATTCCCCTACATGGATGAAAAAACCTGGCTAGACTACCGTGATGTCTCTGTCATCTCTCTTGAGACACTGTTAAGCCTGTTGGAAATCTAAGTGACAGTGAATTAGAAAAGATAATGTATAGTCCAGCCAAAGAATTAAAACACAGAGGAAAATGAGGGCATGAGACCTTCAAATTACAGCTCCCGAGAAACTTAACGGCCAAATTTACAGAGAAAATTTTCATATTTTTAAGTATCTTTCCTACAAAGAGAGAGAGAGAGAGAGAGAGAAATGTTCTGTAAAAATAGACATTTCATGAAAAAAATACTTTATTGAAATGAATTTCCCATTAGTTGAAAATAAGTTTTGATAGGAGAATTGTCAGCCAGAACTAAAATCTCCACTTGGTCTGGTTTTGAAGGCTCCCTGGGCCCAGTGTGGGCCAGGGGCTGCCCATGGCCGGGCTGGGCCGGACCAGGCCACTGCTGGCCACCAGGGCCTGTCCGTCCCCCTGCCGCGAGCGTGGGGGGTCTGGGGGCAGCTGGTCCTGTGGCCAAAGTCCGTGGGGGTGGCGCAGCCCCGGCCCAGTTCTCCTGGAGCGCTGCCAGCCCCTGCCAGGGACTTCGCTACAGAGGGGGCAGCTCTAGCTAGTGTCGATTTTCCCGCAAGTACCAACGAGCAGGTAATTAGGGGGATAATGAGTTGGAACACGCAGCCCAATCCACCTTGCTAAAAAACACCCAGGAAACTGTTCAAAAGCAGGAGCATTCACAGCCAGTCCATTTTGACACTAATATACTCACAATACCCTTTATTTTTTTCCTTCTGATTTTAACAAGACTGATCCTTTGGAAATAAATTAAAAAAAAAAAAAGGAACAGAAAGCACTTGAGAGCCTAAAATATCGTTGTTTGAACATTGCAAACAGTGAACATTCATTATTTGTTCCTAAGAAGTTGTGGCATTTCATTCACTTAGATGATCAAAATATCTGAAATATTAACAGTTAATGTTGCTCTAAGAGTTTTATAGAAGCTACAGGTATTTTAGAACTCAAACTCTACCACATTGTTTATAAATCCAGTTACTAACACATGAGAAATGCAGAAATGTAACTACAGAAGATGCACTAGCAGAGGTCAGATCAGCTGGTGTAAAATGGCATGGCTCCACCGCAGTCTCTGGGCATTACTGTGACTTATGTCAGTTCTGGATCTCGATGAGTATTTCCACAGAATTAGAATACCTGTTTTCATTGAAAATATATACCTTTTGAGGCTTTTAATGATGGAGGATAATGGAGGATTTCCTGGTCCTTTATGTATCTTGAACTGTAAAAAGAAAACAGTTGCAGAATAGCTTTAGGACAATATTCAGATATGCAAATCATTCTCTGCAGTTATTTAAATGAGTTGTAAATTATATGTGCTTTGCTGCAAATCCAGTAGCACAATGACATAGGTAATTCCTTGAAGCATTTCTATATACAATTCACTTTCACACTGTGTAGTTTGCTGTTTTTTGAAATGTAGGAAATCATAATCAAAGCAAGCAGAAAGACAGAAAACCTTTAACCATGGGATTAAGTTAAAAGAGAGGACTTAACTGAGAGCCAACTTGAATGAAAGTCTTTGAAAGTCAATGGCTGAATACAAAAAAATCCCATCAATAGCATGGATTATATCTTCAATCTTCATACCCCAAAGAAGAACATTCTCATTTGGATTAAAGAACTGCTCTAACTGGGGGCATGTTGTGGGCTAGAATTAATAACCATTAATTAAACAGAAAAAAAATGGCAAATAATAGTTATCAACTGCAATTACAATAAAAGTCTTTCTCCAGACACTTCTCCCATTCCTGTCTGGCTCCGGACACTGTCTCCACTCTCTTCCTCTTCCTATTTGATGGAGACTTCTTGCTAGACAGATTGGGACACTAACTTCCCCCAAACACAAAAAATAGCAATTTGGGGGTTATTACTCCTATCTGGTACAGTTTTAGGGAATTGAAATGGCAGGAGATTCAATTATATCAGCACACATTAACCTAAAGTGTATCTGTTCACTAAGCATTAGCACTTTTCACCATTTAGTCACCATTTAGTTTAAATCAGTATTTACATGAACACAATTTAAAGACTATTAAAAAACACTTTTATAGCTTTCCCTTTGAAATTTGAGATTGCCAGCACTCATAAAAATGAAGCATGAACAGCACTGATGAGGAGTAAATATAATGTAGGCAGATGATATGAAAGTATCACCCAGAATCTCCGCCAACGCAACTCTACTCTCACCTGAAAGAGCCTTGCTGATATTTCCCCCGTACTTGTCTGATTAGATTGCAGGCACTGAAAGGGGAACAAATAGCTATCGGCATAAAACATCCACAAACTAGCAAGCAAATGGCATTTCCAGACAGAGAGACGCAAATTTATTTTATTCATGAAGGTGAAATAATTGCATTTGAACCTGACGTGGTTCTAAGCACACTCTATCAAACAATTGCATGCCAGAACAACTAGATCTGAATACAAGCTGCACAAAAGCATGCAGAATACCAAAAGGAAGAGTACACTCACAGAATTTTACTTAAGGTATATACATATGTGTGTATGTGCAGGGAGTTTCGTGCATATCAAGAGGTGCATGGAAGATCAACTCCTATTTTGATGACTTTTTAATAGGAAGCCATGAACCTGGAATCTTACTATACCGATAACCTCAGGTGACCCAAAAGAGCATCTGAAACTCAAGCAGATGGCCAGTGTCTCAAAGACACTGCTCTTTTTTTTTAAGAAATCCCAGATATTAAGACACTCAGTTTATATATATATATAAATGTGTTTATCTGAAGGAGGTATTACTTATAGCTGGCAAAGGATTTCACTGACTTTCTGGTGCCGTCTTAAGATTTGTCAAACTGTCCCCCAATCACATTAGAATCATGAACAATTCATGGTTCAATCTAAACACATTCAAACCTAATTATGTCAGATTCCTTTCCAGCTATGTCTCAATTTGATGAGCCAGTTGTAAAAATTTACTATTTGGAAATCCAGAATCACAGAATAGGAAGTCATTTATGACACAAAATATTTAAGATACTATTACGTATCTTTGTCAGTCCTTACAGGAATTAATTCTGACAACACAGTGGTGGTGGAAGTATTGAATCGGTCTTGCACGACGCAGAAACTTCCTGCAGAGCAATATATGCTACAGAACTTCAGAGAAATATATTTATACAACACATGACAATTTTCCAGCTTCCTTATCCACAAAACAAGGCATAGTGGTAAAATATTGATATGTCTTGCAAACATAGCAAATGTAACAAAACGGCAAAAAGCATTCAGCATTTATGCAGAAGTACTGTTTTCCTCAGGGTCTCTGTCTACCAGATGAATGCTTCCCGTGATCACAGATTCGTCTTGAGCTGAAGCATTCTCCAACTGCTTCTTTGTGCAATATGGAATGTGCCCACAAAAATACATGTAAATCCATGGGTTGATACAACTATTCAGATTACCAAGGAGCATGATAATGGTGAATGCTGAACCTAGAATAGTTAAAGGAATAGCAGAGTAAATAAAGCAGTCATCGAAATTAGTAACATTTCCACAATCTGATGCTTTCTGGTGTACCTGTTCACTTACTAAAGCTAAAGTAATACCAGGAAACTTCCATTTGTTCAATACAATTTTTAATTGTCTAAGGTATAAAATACACTGCAGTTGTATGCATTTCAGAGTTAAATAGTTCTATATACTCTTTTTTGATGTAGATGCATTAATTTTAGAAGTCAATTGTCAAGGAATTGTTAACTTGATATACAGATACAGATAAAAATAAATATCAATATAGATATTGACAGAAACATAGAGAGAGTAAGACTCAGAATTCACACTTACAGGAAGAATTTTTAAAACAAAGACCATAAGATTTTTTCCATCAGGCTATTATCTGTTTTTCTTTGATTTATATCTGTGATTTTTCAATAGATTAACTTGATAAATAATGTCACATACTAAGTCTGCCTTTCACAAAAGGGCAATAGTATAAGTTTGACAAGATTAATCTTGTTTACAATATGTTGTTCTTTGATATTTTGGGCTTGCTTGTTTGCTTTATAAACAGCTGATACCCAACTTTTAATTGTTCCATAGTTTACTGAAAATACTTCATTAATACGATTTCAATATTCAAAAATATTTCAGATGTCTTATACCATTGCTGTTCTATAGGTTAAATAATTTGAGTAATTATTCCTTTTCATCTCAGGAGCTCCAAATGCTATTACAATACTATCTAAAATATATACCAGTCTGAACTGAACCCTTGCTGGAGCAGATGATACTTATTACTATACTGTATATTAATCATTAAAGATTAATCAGTCTTGTTTAATGAGTCTTGCCTGCAGGAAAAATCTTTACTTAAAGCATACCTGTATGTGTACAAACATACCCAGAAGACACAGACATGCACAGTCACATACAAAATACCCACAATATGATGTTTTGATCATGTAATATAAAAAAGTTCTCTGTACCTAATTAAATATAGTAAGTAAGCAATTCATTTATTTTAAATCATATTCAAACGATTACCTGTCACTGTTACACAAAAGCAAAGTCCATATAGAAAGCCATGTAGCAAGGTGTTAGCCTGCTATAAAGTTATTAATGAGGATGGAGAGCATCTTACCTTCAGTAACGCCACTGGGGAACCAAACAGACCACAGCTGTGCAATGAAGAAAGGTGACCAACAAAGAACATATGCAAAAACTGTCACCACTGTCATTTTTACAGTCTTGATCATAGCCTTTGAAATACAGTTAACACTGCTGGCTCGAGATGGCAGGACTTGCTTCTGATTTGTTATTTCATATTCATTCTGTTTTTTCACATATATATTCCTTTTGATTATTTTGCAAATCTTAACCTGACATGTGATAAGGATGACTGAGGGAATGAAGAATATAACTACAAAAATCCAAGTTACATACGCCCTTGGGCCCCACGGTAGAATAAATTCACCCCAACATTCAAAGATGCCTGGAGATATTTCAGTCTTAGAAAAGATAAATACCTGTGGAAGGCTAAAAATCAGTGATATAGACCAGCTGGTGCAAATGGGAATGTTCCACAAGGCTCTCTTCTTTTGGAAAGTGACCATAGGGTAGCAAACTGCTTGATATCTGTCTACTGTCATGACTACTATCATATAAGTAGAGGCAAACATGCCCAGCAACTGTAAATATTTGATAACTCTACACAAGAAATCTGGCCCTATGAAAACATCTGTAATATCCCATATTAGCTGAGGCAGAACTTGAAAAAATGCTACCACTAAGTCAGCTATGCTGAGGTGAAGCATGAATACATACATTCTAGAGAGCTTCTTTCTTCGTCTCCACAGTACCAGTATGAGAATAAAATTGCCCACAGACGCTGTCAGAAATATTACCCCCAGTACAGCAATCTCTACTTGAGCCAATTGCTCGTCTCTTTCTGGTCTTCCAACAGGATCTGACTTATTTGTCAAACTCAGGAATCTGTGAGGAGAAGGACTTTCAGTCTGATGTGTGTTATCTTGCATAGGAAATGAAAAATTCTTCATCGTGCACAGAAGCTACTTACAGTAGCTGTTACTTGCGACTCAGGTTGACAGCTGTGAAGTACTGGCTAGTAAATAAACCAGCACAGGTTCAGGTTTCAGTATGTCTTCAAACAAATCTCTTCATGGATATGTGAACCTAAAGCACCGGACCCGTATCTTGACAAAATTCTGGCTCTTGCTGGAGTGCAAAAAGGCTTTATATAGGCTTCAAATAGAGCCTTATGTAACTTCAGAATCATCTGGTAGGCTGCAGTTATCTTAGCCAATAAGAAAGCAAGTAATACAATTGGGTGAAATATATAAATAAAAAGAGAACTTCAGAGGCTCAGAATAATTAAATTACTCACTTCAGTCAAAAACCTAAATTGTAAATAGCTGTGGCCAAAATCATACTTCAATGATATTACTCATGAGAGTTCTTTCACATATTTTTCATGTAAACCGTAAGCGTATGCTTCAGTTTAACAAGGAATGCTTATACGTAGATGGAAAGATAGGCCCCTGAGCTCAGATGCATCATAACTGCAATTCTCTAGGCTCCTGGGGCAAACACCACATCCTAAATGCAGCACAGACAAAGAAACATATTTTTCCTTTTTTTTTTTTTTGAGATCTAAGTCACCTGATTCAGGAAAAAAAAGGATTTCAATTGCCCTAAAAATAATCTTTTTATTGCAAGAAAGGTCAAGACTTAGAAGTTTTTTCTCAGCAAAATGAAAAATAGCACATGTGAAATAAATTACTTTTATTGGACTGTGAGTCTACCGAGAATTTAATAGAAAAATAAGTGAAAATTCAGGAGGAAATCCAATTGAGGAAAAGGTCCACATGGCAAAACAACTTTAAGGCCTCTCTTCAACTATAGTGCTAAAGGCTGGAAGATCATTTATCGCTACGTAACCGTTTTTCTTTTCGTGGAATAAGCTGTATCATGACTGTGACAATTTCATTTGTCTGTCTCCAAGTATGACTTTTGCATACTGTCAGTGGCAGACAGGAATAGCAATTTTGATTTAATTTCATCTGTTCTCCCTCAGTCTGTCCCCTTAATCACAATAAATGGATTTAATAGAAAGAATTATTTTAATATGAATGATAACACATATTTGTATGCAAACTTGTCTTAAGTTAGGGCACTCATATGCTTTTAAATGAAGTCAGGAGACTGGTAATTTGAAGTCCTTATGAAGAGGAAACTGATACGGTGAAAAGGATGTTCATGCTGCACGTATAGTACATGATGCTGCATCTACACTGATTAATCTTTGTGACCATGACTACCTTATAAAACCAGCTGAGGACTCTCGTGAACAGACTTACATCTCCTTGGCACTGAATGTTTTCAGGTATCGACAGCCAGGAGTAGGGCAAAATTCAAAGGGACAAAAACAGTATGCTGAAATAGACTACAAAGGCTTACAAGAACAGTGTGATCTCTTTTTCTCTCCTCTTTTTTCCCCTTCATCCCACAATGGAACCGCAGTTAGTATCTCAGGTGAGGGGGTAACTACGAGAATGGAGAGTGGACAAGTAGAACAACCTCGGTGAACAGCCACCTGCAACAGCTATGAGGATACAGATAACCCAGATTTGACTGAACACTGCTGCAGTTGCCTAGGTCTACAATAGCTTTTCGCTACAATCATGTTGCAAAGAATCTGAATCATTACAACATAGTCTGAAATACTTGATAATTTTTTCCTAACAGGAAGCCGAATTGTAGCAAAATTGGATTCCAAAACTGCTTCTTTTTAGTTTTTCCCCTAGCTTGGAATCCATCTTGACTAGTGGCAAACACTATGGCAAGACTGTGAGGCAACAGATGTATTTCCTTCTGCCCCTACTCTCCCTTTCCTCAATAGCTTCCAGAAGAATAACTGAGCTGGCCATAGTCCAAGAATCCCTGGCAATTCTTCTGATTGCAAACAGTAGGCTGTAGAGCAGGCTGGCTCATCTCCATTGCTGCCTTCAAATAAAGACAAAATTTCTGGTGTGTGTTCCAAAATCATTGACCCTGACATCCTCACACCATGAGTTAACAAAAAACCAGGTGTGATCTTTAGCTCTCTAGCACGATACTGGGTAAATATCTACATTTAGACAGAGCTACGACTAAGTGGGTTGAAACAGGAACATGTTGAATAGAAAATTAAACCTAAGTTCAGGCATAGTATATAAGCTAACATTTACCTTTCATGACCTGAACAACAATCAAGAAGTTATAAGTAAAAAGACTAGAATATACAACAGAAGTCACTTCCAGGATGGTATTGGAAGACTAACCAGAATATAGGACCAGAATCACATCTTCATATGATTTCTGCAACGCATAGTATATGGGTAGATTTATTTCAGGAATATGCACCCCCTATGCCTAGAACAGTTCAGCTAAAACCCTGGGAATATGTAAGTCTTCCTAGCTAAGTACGTGTACACAGCACATGATGTCTGGGCAGCACACATGCTAGCGATCAGACCCAGCATGTGTAGCTTAGTTAAATGGCAAACACATGGTGGAACGTATCGGCTTTGCCATGTTTATACAAAAGCAGACGACCCTCCTCGTACAAGTTGTCCTAGTGATGTAAGATTCCACTCCATCTTACATATAATTACTTCCATATATGTTAATAGTTTCCTAACTTTACAATTATGCTCTTTCCAGTTTTTTCATTCATGCTAGCTGACATACAGGATAGTGTTTTATTTAAATTGAATCCATCTTGGGAATATAATTCACTGAGAAAATAAAAACAGGATAATAGATGAAAATATTTAAGTAGTTATTGCTGTTCATTTACTCCGAGTGCCCTTCTGCTGCTGCCCAGCTTTACTGCATTCCCAACTACATCTATCCAAGTTAATTTTTCAGCCTAAATTATTTATTTTCACTATTGTAGGAAGGAGCATTTTAATTAACTTCTGCTGAATTTCTCAGTGTGGGCTTTCATCTAATGTTTGACAGTTAGCTAGTAGGGAAGGATTTAGCTCATAGATTAAGACATCTAAATTTAGGTGTCCACCTCAAATCACAGAATGAGAGAGTCATGCAATTTGAAAGGGCTCTTTAGTCCAACCTCCTAAACTCAGATCAGCTTTCTTAGGGTTTGTGCAGTCAGGTCTTGCAAACCTCCAAGAGCAGAGACCTCACAACCTCCCTGGATAACCTTTTCCAAATGCTTAATTATCCTTGTAGTGGAAAAGTATTTTCCTTATGTGCAGTCAGAACTTCCCCATTTCAATTTGTAACCACTGTCTCTCGTTCTTATGCCATAAACCTCAGTTAGGAGCCTGGCATAAGGCATTTTCTCAGTAACCTCCCATAGGTACTGGGGGGATGTGGTTAGGTCGCTTCGAAGCCATCTCTTCTGCAGGCTGAAGAAGCCTTAGTCCCTCAGCCTCTCCCCATGGGGCAAGTGCTTCAGCCCTCCAAACATCTTCATGGCCCTCTGCTGAACTCATTCAACGTTATTAACATCTTTCCTGTACTGGGGGTTCCAAAACTGGAACTTAGTATTCCATATGTCCAGATATGGTATAATGAGTACTGAGTAAAGGCAAATAATCACTTTGTTCGATCTATTGACTACATGTGAGCTATGTGTCTACACTCCTATTACAGCCAAAGGAAATTAGGAGTACAGTTCAGGCCCTTAAATTAGGTAAGAAGCACTGTTTGAGATGCTCTAGCACATACTTCTTGGCCTGCAGTTATCAATCCAAAAAGACACAGGATCACAGGACTTGTCATCATCTATCTAGAAGTTGAAAATATCCCAGAGCATCTCAGATGGCACCAGATGCTTACGCATAGACAACTGCGTTGAACTCGCTGTGCCCGCTTTAAGTTCACTGCGAGTTGAATAGCTCTCCAGGATTCACTGACTACATATAGTAAAGGAATTTAGATGCTTAGTTCACATGCAGACACCTCCACTTAAACCCCTACACAATATACAATCTGCATCCCACCCATGATGCATGTTATGCAAGATATCTTTATGCATCTCCATCCATTCTATTAGGGAATATATTTTAAAATATATTTTTTAAATGTTAGGGACACAAAAATAGAACAGAATGGAAAAATGAAATGGTTTATGAAATCAGTCTTCTGTTATCACTGGCAGCCATGTCACACAAAACTTTTTCTAAATTTTTCATGCTCCACCTTGGAAAGTAGCTTTTTGATTCTCACTGTTTGACAGCTGTTCCAAAATTTAACTGCTCAGATAGGTGGAAACCTTTTCCTCATTTCTAATTTAAATATATGCATGTCTGAAATGCTCACTGTTTTGCAACAGTCACTATAAATTATTCGTATCTCTGCTTGTACACACCTGTGTGAGTCTTAAATAAGTATGAGTTTTCTCCTAAACCCCATATTTATTCTACATACAAGTCCATTTTTTTCAGGCTAGTGTTGTATGAGACATGGTCAAAGATTTATTTAGCATAGGTGTTACGCTATCATTGTGTTACGACTGTGGAACAACTAAACTTTCCAAAAGTCTTCTCATATAGTTTCCTCAATATATTAATTTTAAAATGTATCTGGGAGATTGTATATGGTCCATTTTGTTGTTATTGTTCTGATTCACATAATTCCAACATTATCCAAATAATAATTCCTTTACCCTTCCTCTGGCACAATACCTGAAATCTGTGGTACTGCCAGGTAATCCATCTGAATATACTGAGGCTATACAAGATGCAAGTCAGGTAAGAATTTTTTTCTGTATCTGTAGCTGCATAATAATTTCAAGTCACTTTTCTTTGTTGTTCAACCGGAGACATTTTCAAAGCTTGGATTTAGACAAATCTCAGCCACAACTGTGGCTACATTACCGACAATACAAAACTATGCACCTTAATCATAGAGTCACAGAATCATAGAAACGTTGGTCAGGAGGGATTTCTTTAGGTCTTCCTCCAGAGTGTAACTGCCCATTGAAGTGGAGCTATCACTAGATCAGATCTGACACACCTTTGTCCAGCTGAGTCTTGAAATCCTTCAAGTATGGAAATTCCACTTCTCTAGGTAACCTGTTCCAGTACTGCATTACCCTCTCAGTGAAGAATGATTTCCTAATATTCATTCAGAACTTTCCACAGTGCAATTTGTGGCCACTGTCTTTTACTAGATCATCTGCCAGTCCTG